TGCGCACGCGCACGGGAGCTCAGGCTGCGGGGTCTGCGGACTTCCAGCGACTGCCGGGAGCAACTGCGGCGCGCGGGCCTGCTTGTCCTTCGTCCTCTCCTCGCTAGCCCTGCCTTCCTGGCTTCTGACTGAACCCGGTCTGGGCGCTCAGGGCTCTCCCTGCAAATCGCAGCTCCTCCATAGCCAGGGGCTAGCTCGTAGGAGCACAGACATCCACGGATGGGGAAGAGGACGGCGCGGCCGGGATCCTAACAGAACGCAGCCATTGCCAAGGACGCAGACCTGCGGGGCTCCTGAGAAAGCCGCGTGCAGATAATTTCCATAACATTCTAGGAGAGAAGCCTGTGTGTTTGGTTAACACCTGGAACGGGTTACCTGGGGAGGGGACTATGGGAAAGATCACTATTTCGGTATTGATTTGAGCTAAATTACTAGCTAGGAAAAGCTAATGGGAGATATTTGAATCTGTGACCTCACAGCTTTCGGTGTTTTGAGGTCGGTATTTTTTGTGGGCAGCCACAGGTCAGTGGTTCAATCCCCAATAATGCAAAAAGAAAGCTGGGGAGGCTAGCAGGCAGCGAACCCTCCAGGGACACTATGGACTCTGGTCTCCTTTCCTTTTTGCTTCTGGGCCAGGAAGTGAATAGCTTTGCCTGACTGCGTGATCCTGCCACGATGTGCCAATTCCTGGCAGCCCCAGTGACAGTGACAGGCCAGTCAACCAGGGCAAGGATCCTATAAAACTATGAGCCCAAGTCAACTTTTAAATTCATTATCTAAGGGAGCTGCTGACCAACACAGGTTTGAGTCAGAAGAGTCTGAGTAAGATTCAGTAAGCAGGACCAGTGGGGTGTGGTGTCGCCTGACCCTAATCCACACACAGGCTGAGGCAGGAGGACCACAAGTTTGAGTCTTGCCTGAGTGATTGAGCAAGACCCTTTCTCAAAATAGCTCAGTGTGAAGGGCATGGGTTCTGTCACCAGCACCCAGGTCATGTATGTACACACATAGCTTTTTAAGAATAGTGAATCCCTGGCCAGGGATTTAGCTCAGTGTGCTGCCACCTGCCTTGCTAGGAGAACAGTGCCAAGTTCGATACCGGGTACAAAAAAAAAAAAAAAAAAAAAAAAAAAAAAAAAA